TGTTAGAATGTCAAAAATGCTTTTTACAGCATTATCATTATACTTGAATGTCCTCTCTATTCAGAGAAAAATATAGATAATAGTTATCCATAAACACAGTTCGAAGCTTGCAGCAGCGTTGCAGCAATGTTTGCAATATTATTGTAATACTGCTGGAACATTGCAATGTTTCTGCAATATTGCTGAAACGACCTGTGTTGTACGAATATAAAGATAACTATACGTGCAGCTATAAAGTAGTTTATTCAATTATGTACATTAATTCTACATAGAAACTTGTATTGCTATCACTTTTATAACTGATACAAATGCATCTTTTTCTCTAGGTTATATTATTATTTTGGCGGTTCAACATAATTATTTTCAGAATTATTGTCTGATCTAAGTTTTATAAGCCTCAGTAAAACCATTCTTTCCGTGTGTATAAGATTATTGCAGATAAATCTGATTTTATCTTTGGAATCAAAAGGAAATAGTACACCGTGGGAAGTGGCTTGAAATGATGTGGTTACTATACGCCTGAATGCGAGTTTCTGGGAAAGCGGATTTTTATATACGAGACCTTTCGGCGAAAGTTACCTTCACCTTTGCACCTCAGCGTTTTGCCCGTTTGTGTGTGTGTGTGCGTGCGTGTATGTGTGCACGTAAGAGACCTCAATCTGGACGCAAAAGGTTAACGAAGAGCAGCGGCACAAATGCACGTGATGTGAAGGGAAAAAACAGGAGAATGAGACTGGACATCTCGAAGCAGCCTTGAAGATGCTTTTTTTTTCTTTTTTTCGCCACTTCATTATACGATTGCCTACGATTGAGAAAAGTGACGTTCGATGAGCAATATCCTCTGTAAGTGTCACTTCCACTCCTCTTCCCATCGTGATCTACATGATACGCGATCGCGTATGGGTGAACGGCTTCGCCGCGGCTGTCCCGTTAACAGACCTAGAAGGCTCAGAGAGGAGACCAGACCGGAGCCAATCGTATCGGCCGGTTCTCAGACACATCGGCACGGGCCCCTGTCTGACAAGGATTGTCTGGTCGGGTCGGCCTGCAATCAGTCAGCCGGGACGATCCTACAGATCTTCCTCGACGGTGCGTCCGAAGAGCGGGATCTTCGCTCGCGTAGGTCGCACGTCGATCTTCTTGTTCTCCTCCCCCTTCACTTGCTCCTCGCACTCCTCATCTACCGTTCCTCCACTTCATTTCTCTCTCTCGTCTCGCGGCTTCTTCCCCTTCCTCCCACCTCGTCCTGCCCACCTCAGGTTGCTCTTCGAACGTAGATGTAGTATTTCCTGGTGATCCGTGATGCGCATCACAAGGCTCTTGCGCTGATGCGCACGGTGGGTTTCTTATCGGTGATATATAATTATCATAATGATATTTTTATGATGTAAAGAAGAGCGTAGAGTTTGATTTTAGTTCTCCGCGCGTTCATACAGCTGAAGGCGAAAGTTGCTGATGCCGGTGTAATTAACACCCGTAAACAATCGCCGAGATAGCTTCGTAACCTTGAACAGGCATCGCTGTCTCACGTCAGTTCGCGATACGGTGCTAATCTCAAGAATTTTCTCTCTCGTAGCCGAAGAAATACATTTTCTATCCGTTTCCTGCCTTTGTCCAAAGGGATCACGTTGCTATTTCTACGTTTCCAGGAAACGTTGCCAGTCCTTTCGGAGTGAGGACCTGATGAAGGATCGAATCATGGGCCGCACAGGATACACGTGCATCAGGCACGTTTTCTGCTCCCTCAACGTTTTAATCTGGGTACGTAGAGGTACTTTTTTTTAAATCATTATTAATCTAAACGCTGCGTTTCGATTGTATAAGACATAATTTTTTTTTAAACAACAGAAGTAACTTAAATGCGTATGCGATTGTGAATTTTATCTGTTATAAATTTTAAGTTTAGTTAAGTAGCCCATTGACAAAAAATTGGCAAAAGTCTGCACTTGAAATTTTTTGAGCGAGAGCGAATAAATTTGTATGTTTTTTATTTTAACCATCAATAAGATCTTTCTTTTAATTAAGAAAGATTTATTAATTTAGACTAAAAAAAAAAGTATATATAATACGACATGAGAAAAATACAATTTTTATTTATTAATTAAAATAGGATGCGCTTAACTGATTTTGCAGCTGAAGACAGAATTTTGGCTGATTTTAGAAAGTGTCCGCTATTTTTATTAAATATAACTGATAGATATAACTGTATTTGCAACAGTAGGGACTTGAGGATTTAAATTCTTTTGCAATTAGACATCTTTCTTCTTAAATTCTGTAGGGATTGTAATATGTCAACAAGATATTTTTCAAACGTTCAATTCGTTTGAATTTTAATCCGTTTAAAATTAGAAGAAGCAAACAAATTCACAGGTTTCAACATCTTAATTTTTTATTTTTAGATAAAGCGGCTTTTGCTTTCGGCTACTTCTTTTGAGATTGATTTACTTTGCGAATTATTCGAGAATGGTACTTGAGCTATATTTAAACAACTCGTTCGCGTTGGAAAGATACGTGTGAGAACTTTTCAACTTAAATGAAACATTTCGTTGCCGCGTATAATTCGTAAACACGGGTGTATACATGCGTATACGGGTATATACAGTGCAAGTGTGCGACTTCAATTGGTCAGAAATGACAGAAATGAGACAATAGCCGGCCGGCGGTATTAACGTCCCACGCGGGTCGGCGATTAAACTGACGACGCGCTTTTGTAATTCGCGCCGCATTCCGCCGCATTCGCCGTTCCCCGGGCTTTATTATTCCACTTGAAATCGTCCGCCCGCGTCTGATCGCGATGAAAGCCTTAAATAGGGCGTTGAACCGTGCTCTATGAGCTATGAACTTACGGTACTCGTAAGTCGACAATAAAGTGCGGCACCGATTGCTCTGTATGCTGTAAAACTGCTGCACGTGTCTTTATGTTCTTTATGCTGTGAAATGCGTTACCTACTGTCACTCTGTTTCACTCTGATACTAATCGCAATTCGTGTTGCACGAACTCCAAACTGGGTAAGACAGTCTGGAGTTTATCAGATTCATTAGGTATTACTCCAAACTTAAAAGTTCTTGAGAAGACAGATAAGAGACATACTGTTATATAAATCACATCTTCGATTATATAAAAAATTTATATCAAATTATTAAATTATTTAATTACACTTACATTATATTATTTATATTTATATTAAATTATTTAGTACGTTTTAATAATAAATAGTTAATAATAAATATTTTGATGACGAGAGAGAGAGAGAGAGAGAGAGAGAGAGAAAAAGAGAGATACAAATCAAATATTTGGTGGTCAACGACACGTTATTGCAGATTATATAACGCTGTTGCAAAAACGTCCCGTTTTCGCGTACGCACCATTGACGGTAATTAGAAAGTACGGATGCGCTCTTTTGTACAATTAGCTATCGGGGTCGCATAACAGTGCATTAATTTCTCAATCATGCTACGTCGCAGAAATTGTAATTTATAAATTACATTGCGGTTCTTCCGCAGATGTTACTTGCTGCGTGTAAACACGGTGGTCTCATCATTTACAGTTGAATTTGATAAGGAAGGACGTTGCTATCGCGTGTCGAATATATTGCACTTTAGAGAATGAATTAACCGTAAGGTCAACATTCACCTAGTCGACTTCCTGTCATTGATAGCACAGCAAGGTAACCACCGACTTACCCATAAAATCTGCAGTACTCTCTTACGTAGGCTGGACAAGTCTCTGTGTTTGCGAATAAGTTAGCAGGTTGACGATAAACCGTTAAATGTATACGGGTGACCGCATCGACATCCGATACACTTTGCTGTTTAGTGAAATAGCGTTATATAGTTACGTTGTTATTTTAATTTTTATTGCGAATGCGAGAAATGATCGCCATCCGATACACTTTGCTGTTTAGTGAAATAGCGTTATATAGTTACGTTGTTATTTTAATTTTTATTGCGAATGCGAGAAATGTCATGGTGTGATTTTGCCATTCACTCGTCACACGTTCGTTGGCGCACTGACCGTGAGTTAAATGAATTTCGCGATGGCTGTCAACCATAGGCATCGATCTTCCTTCCGCGTCGACGATTCGAAATGCATCACGATACTTTCTAATCCACGGTCCACTTTCCACTTTCCGATTTTACTTAAACGCGGCATAAACGAGAATTCGAGATAGCTTTGTTATCGAGCGTATATTGTCGGCAACAGTCGAATGGAAATAACGCGTCATTGACCCAATGAACTCACGTGCTATGAGTGGCGTGTGATAAGGATCTCTCGATGCTTTTCATTATAATTTTCTAGATCTTTCAGTAGGGGAGACTAATTACATTTTTTTTATATGATAATTGACTTGAGACTAATTACATTTTTTTTATATGATAATTTTTGATAACTAACGTATTGTAAATAAATACGTTAAATCAGATAAATACCGCAAAGATATTTATCAAAAGCTGAACATCTATATTATTCATATTTGTTAAATTTATAATTTATTTATTTTACATTAATTAAAAGTATTTGTAAAAATTTATATCCATTCAATCTACATATGAGACAGTTTGTTACAATTATCAGCTGGATAAATTGGACAACTGTAAATTCTTTTAAATATTTTAATTATTTATAAATATATCAAATTCTCAAATAAAAATATCTTTTGCCAATAAATAACATATATTTACTTGTAAATATAATGTTCCAAAAATATCGAATGTCGATTTCGCTGCAGATTTCTTCCAAATCAAAATATTTTCACAATAAAAGACCGTGAAATGATTGAAAGAAAGTTCAGCAATTTTGAAATACTCAATGTAATCATTTGTCTATGTACAATACAATCGTACTGTACAAGGTGAGCTGAAATATATGATAACGGAAAGGAGATGATTTGAAATTAATCAAAATGGTAGAATAATCTTTTTGCATAAGATATTGTACTTTTGAAAAAAAGAACTTGAAAGTTACGTACATGTACTTGAATGATATTTGACGTAATGATTTTTGTTACAATCTGATTTTTTTTACTATATTAGGATTAATTCAATCCTAATTCAATCAGTTCCATAAGATACATAAGTGAATTTGTATAAGACAAAGATAAATTTTATTTCTTATACATTTATTTCTTACTTAATTGCGATATTGTTGAAATGGTTGGCCATTTTGTTGTATACAAAGTTGAATTCTGCAAATTTAATTAAAATGGATTGCTTCTAACGTATTCTGTCTCTTTAATTTTTTTAATGTAAAAGAATAATTTTTCGCAATAAGTTCTTTACAGTTTTTTAAGATTAAATTTAGAAAATTTGGGAGGTTATTAATATTTCACAGATTGATTGCGTTGAAAGTCCGACAACCAATCGGCACGCAATTATCGTTTCTGAAATTAATTTATTTAAATAAATATATATAGTAGTTCAACATCTTAACATTCAGATCGTAATGGCGCTTCGTATTTAAAGTAATAATTTTTTCTTTTAACACTTTAACGTTTCTCACTCATTAAAGGAACCAAGTGAACAAAGTTACTATCAAAATAAAGAAAATAAAAAACTAAATATTTCATCAATGTAAAAAACATAATTATCAAAAAGTCAAAAAATTTCTATATCTATATATAAACGCCTATCTTTTACACAAGAAATAAAATTTAAATCTAAAAACTAAAACGGTCAATAACAACCACTGGACACTTCTAATGTTCAGGATAATAAATTCAGAATTTTTTCTAAAAAAAAGTCTTGTTAAAAAAAAATCATTCTTTTATTTCTCTTAGTTTAAGCCGTAGAATCACTTCTCGATTGTACTACGTATTTGCCATCCTATATACTATAATTTCGATTTTAATGGATCCGCGTTTTAAGTACGTTCGTCGAAAGTCAAACGTTTATGACGCGCGGAGTAATTGACGCGCGTAATTTGTTTTACAGTTATGCGCTTGCGGAATTTTGGGTGCGGGCCTTTGGCTGCGACTGGCTTACTCCGGATACGCGACCTTGGTACCGCAGTACAGCTTCGTGTCGGCGGATTCGCTGCTGCTCGCCGCGGGATGCGTCACATTCGTCATCGCCTTCTTCGGATGTTGTGGCGCGTGGTTCCAGTCAAGATGCATGCTGATCACGGTTAGTACAACGTGATCCATTGTAAAACACGTGCCTTGCAAAAAGCGCGCGTGGTACAGTATACTTACGGACTTTTTGTTATACGCACGCAGTACGCTACATATGCGGCGCACGGACTGAAGCTTATAACTTGACAATCTTGAATATCTTTGTCGTTAGTAGATCGTGATTCGAATTTCTGTTGTCATTTGAATAATTTCTCACAGAGCAATACGTATGCTGTTCATGCTGACTACATTTTGAAAAAATCATCTTTTTTCCTCGTTTGTTTTGCTCATCCTTAGCTGAGATAAATCTGCCTGCTAAGCGAAACAAAATATTCTTTTCATTATACGCGCGAGTATATAGCTTATACACAATAGAATTCGTGTAGTATATGACGCAATATGTGACGGATCGATAAATTCGTTTGCATATTATGTGAGACCTTGCGTGTATAGTAATAATTACATAGAATGTGAGATCTTTTTTCTCTTTCTTTTAATTCTTGTTTTCTCTTGGTGAAAGAAATAAGTGTTAGAATAATTAAAAGGTTTTTGAAAATCTCAAGACTTGTAAAAAGATGCCTCATGTAATTAATAATAGGAAGAGAGAACGTTGACACTTCCCGTAATTTTCAGTATTTTAGTCTGGTAATACTCATGTTTCTCGCCGAGTTCATGCTGGGCACCTTGGCGTTCGTGTTCAGAGAACACCTCGCGAAGAGCTTGAAGGAGGAGCTATTGTACGGCATTGAGAAGCATTATAATATTACGAGGGAGCCGGGAACACTTTCTGCCATGTGGGACCACATACATACCGAGGTTTGTTTAATTATTTAATTAATATTTGCAAAGCACCACACGAGGTGTTACAGATTTCTGAATTTCCTTAATTTATTTTAAAGAAACTTTTTTAAAGAAACTTTTCTCGCGTAGTTAAAAGATCAACTGCTCCGTATTGCGCAGGATATTAAATTAAAATTTGTTTTTTTTTGTGGCTGAACTAATACGTGTACAG